CCAGTTCAAATTCTGGCTGGTACTGCGAATATTGTACATCATCCACTTCAACAACTCCACCTTGCACAACCACACTAGCATCACCACCTCATCCATCGCAACCACCATTTCAACCACAGCAAAACGTCCACAACAAAAACGACCTAAAAATCCATCAACCAAACATCAATGGCATCAACAACAAATCTCTTGAACTCAGGACCTTCCGACAACAAAACTCCATTAATATAGCCGCCATCCAAGAAACAATTCAAATCCACTTCTCGCCCGCCCAACTTTCAAAATTTAACTTTCCACTGTCGAGACCGACCAACAGCTGGTGGCAGTCTAGCTTTCCTCATCCATAACAGCATTCAATTTGAAGAAATTTAAATCCCAATGCCTCTTTCTGATATGACCACAGAATTCTTAAGCATCCGTATCAAATACTATCTAGGCCCACTCACTATAATCAACGTCTACATCCCACCGACCAGTTCTTGCCCAGTTCAATATAAATAGACTTTTACCAAACAACGGCTCAATTGTTATTGGACATTTAAAAGTCCACAACAAACTTTGGCACTCTTCACTTTCAGATGCACGTGGTGACCTCATTGCCGATATCATGAACGGCTCCCCCTATGGGGTACTCAATGAAAAAAATCAAACCAGAGTTCCGTCATCTGGCCCTTCATCCTCACCAGATATCTCAATAGTGTCAGGAAACCTTTCATCAACGACTGGCAAGTCTTTACGGCCCTAGGATCCGATTGCCTACCGATTGTGTTGACCCTCAATGCCACCAAGCCTTCACAAACTCCTAAAAACCGCTTGTATTACAACTTAAAAAAAAGCCAACTGCCCACTTTTTACTTCAGAATCAAAAGCATTATTCGCCGACAACATCAACCATATCCACACATCCGCACATAACTCTGAAAAGATTTTCAGAAACATAATCACAACTACTACCAAGCACACCATCCCGGGGGATTGCTACAAGCAACACCTTCGCTGCCTCCATAAAAAAGCCTCAACACTTATAAACCAACGAAACACTATTAAGACTAAAAATCCTACTTCACCACAAATCCCAGCCTTCAATATTGAAATCACAAAGAGAATCAATCAAGCCAAAACAGAGCGCTGGCACAGGTTTGTTGAAACTTTTGACCACCAACAAAACTCATCAAAACTTTGGAAGACCATCAAAGCCTTAGACAGACACTCCAAACCGCCACCCAATGGCGCAGTCAATTTCAACAAAAAATCCGTCATAAACATCAATAACATCGCCAACCAGTTCAACAAACTATTCTCATCAGTCGTCCCACACTCTTCCAATAAATCCACCCATCAAAAAATCCGTCGGATCAAGGAACTACCTCTAAACCACGCCCCCCCAATTTAGCCTTGAAGAGGTGAAACTAGCTATCAAAAAAGCCAAAAATTAATCCGCAATTGGCCCCGATGGCATAGCTATGCCCCACCTCAAATACTTCGGCCCCCTTGGCATAAAGTTTCTCGCCTCCACTATTAACGCCTCACTCCAGTGCAACCTCATTCCGGCCATCTGAAAATCATGGACAATCATCCCACTTCCAAAACCCGGCAAAGACCTAAATCAAGCAACGTCCTACAGGCCGATTTCCCTACTTTGCTCATCAAGATTTTAGAGGCCATCATCCTTCCAATCATCACCACCAACTTACCTCCTTCATCTCACCAACATGGCTTTCGCCCTGCACACTCAACAACAACAGCTCTTATCAACCTAACCACCCAAATTGCAAACGGTTTCAATGAGAAAAAGCCCCCATCCTGCACTATCGTCGCTTCCCTTGACCTTACAAAGGTTTTCGACACCTTTAACCACCTCACGCTCATCAACATCATCCAGAGTTCTACACTACCATCAGGCCTTGTTTGCTGGCTTACAAATTACCTAAGGGGCCGCCAATCACGCACTCTCTTTCGTGATATTCAATCCTTCTCATGAAACATTAATGCAGGAGTACCACAAAGTTCCATGGTATCCCCAGCGCTGTTCAACGCCTACCTCCACGATCTAACAACTCCTCCAAAAGAAGTACAAGTCGTCAGCTATGCCGACGACATCACAGTTTACACTTCTAATCAAAATATACCCAAAATGGAAAACTCCATAAACTCCTATCTAAAACGGCTCAGCACTTTCCTAGCCAATAGATCGCTTCAACTCTCAACATCCAAATCAACAGTCACCCTTTTCCAACCTGATCCTCATCAAGCCAACTTACATCCCAACGTCATAATAAACAACCAACGCCTCCCATTAGCAAAATCCCCAAAATGTATAGGTGCAACCTTTGACACCATGTTCAGCTTCGCTCAACATGGCAAAAAGCCCATGCAAAAGTTAACAAACGAAATAACATCTTACGAGCTTTAGCCGGTACATCTTGGGGTCAACAAAAGGAGACTTACTCCTAACTTACAAAGCCATTGGACGTCCCATCATCAACTATGCCAGTCCCATTTAGTGCCCAAACCTCTACTCTACAGGTTACCAAAGCTCCAAACCGCCGAAAACCAAGCACTTTGCCTAGCCACAGGATGCCACCTCATGGCGCCCATTGGTCATCTCCACAAAGAAACCAAAGTTCTTCCGATTCAAGAACACTGCAAGCTTCTCACCGATCAATATCTGGCTTCATGCCATATCGACAACGCATCCTTGCACAAAGCTACTCAGAGCCCCTGCACCTGCTAGGAAAATGAAATCCACCTTGCTTTCCTTCAGCTCTGCCAACGTGCAAACTACTTTAATTGCTCTTCCATCAAATAGCACCACCAAATAGATTATGAACTACTTGCACACCGCTGCCACCATGCACTGCCTGAACGCCGACAAGCCCAATGTCGTGCTAGGGGGTTGGCCCCCACCCATAGCAGATGACGAAAAATCCCTGACCCGGGCAACTCGCATAAAACTGGCTCAACTCCTTTCAGGTTACTGCTCCATGCTAGCCGATGCCCAAAATCGAATCGACCCAAACACCCCAAACTGCTGCCCTTTGTGCCAAGCAACGCCAGAAGACGTCTCCATTTTCTCAGTTGCCCAAAAAGGCAATCGAATGATCTCTGGCTAAACCCTCCCAAAGTGGCGACACAACGCCACCGAAAACAGAGTGCGAGGAAACAACAACAACAATGGGAGGCTGATCGATGCCCGGGTGCGGTCAAGGGATGGCTCCCTATTGCTCAACCATGTAATGTATGCCGATGACCTGGTAATTGCTGCTCACTCAGAGGAGTTGGAGGCACTGCTGCTGAACCTGGAGCTTGCCACGGAGAAGTGGGGCCTTACCATCAGCCCCACCAAAACTAAGCACCCGCCTGGGTATTTTGTACCATCGGACACTCCACGCCCACAACTACCAATTGGTGATAGGGCAGTTGTGGAGAGAGTGGAGAGTTTCCCATACCTGGGCAGTGTGCTGATGGCCGGCTTAGGTTTAACAGCAGAGGTCTCACTCCGAATCAATCGAGCAGTATTATCTTTTCATCAGTTGCGTAACGCTGTGTGGAAGCTACCTGGTCTGTCACTCCGCACGAAGCTTCAGGTCTTCTCGGCCACAGTCATTCCTTTCCTTCTCTACGTTTGCAAAACGTGGACCCCACTAATGGAACATCTTCGCCAGTTACAAACATTTACGCTGGCCTGCCTACGATCGATCCTGGGCTTAACCAGGCTGGATTGTGTGAGGAGCTCACAAATCCTTGAAATATCTGGACAAAGTCCCATCGGTGAGCTCCGCCGGCAGGCAAGGCTGCATAGGATGGGCCATGTAGCCCGCATGCCCAGCCACCGCATGCCTAAACAGCTTTTGTTCAGCCGGATTGAGAGGGATAAACGATCGTGGCATGGGCAAGAGAAGAGATGGAGTGATGTGGTACAGGAGGACGTGGAGCTGAGTTGACTTGCCGATGACTGGTACCAGTGGTGTCAAGATCGGCCTCTGTGGAGGAGGCTCGTGAAGGACGCTACTGGGCAGTTGGAGGCAGTCACCCTCCAACAACAACGAAGGGCGGAGGAGCGACGCTCATAACAACGAGCGGAGCGCTGGGTGACTAAAGCACAGCAAGTTGGTACAGCAGGGGGCACAGGTGGTGCATCAGCCAGTCGTCTCAGTCGACCTGTGGCATTTGGGTCTGACCCGTGACCTCCTGCCAGCGGGCGTTCGACACTTCACGTGGCCTCAACGTGCACATAGCCTGGCACAAGCGTCGTGGTGACGTCACCGCCACTTAGTGGCGAATGGCGGTTGTTGTTGTTTAACAAATGTGAACACAGTAATTCACCACAGTGAGTTCCACTGGAAGTTTAAGGGTTGGTTTGTTTGTGGATCAGAGCCTCATGCGTGAGCAGTCCTGACCTGTCCACTTGTGGACGTGAAGTTCACATTACACCCTCCACAAAGTAATCCATTACGTGCTACTGCAGGGTTCCTTTCAGACATGTGAAACTCATACATCCCATCACAGGAAAATGTTCTTTACAGCGTTACTATTTTATTAACAATTACAACCATGAACATAAAGGTTGCAACACGCAGACACACGCGCACTTGTGTATATCAGTGTTTAAATGCAGAGAAGGTATAATGTAGTGATATGTGAGCTCCATGTTAATACCATGGACATAAGTCCACCATCCTATTAATTTATAATCACATGCAAGTCTCGTGCCTGACACCTTTCTGTTTGACCAGTTTTTTGACTGGCGATGTTACCAGTGAAGGTCTCTTCGAAAAACCAATGGGTATAAATATGCCTATTCCATAATTCATGTGCTCATGGATGGAAATGGTATTACATTAGGTCTAGGGAGCAATTGCACACAAAGCAAAATGTTCCCTCATGCATCCATTCAGTGATGCAGCCTTCTGTGTAGAGCAGTTAAATATATTTAAACATAAACCGTATTTTTCTGCAGGTAATAACATACACGCCTTCCTGTTGAGTGTCCGCTGCAGTGACATCAGAGGACCGAATCTGTGAATCCGACGAACCAAAAGGGAATTGCGTCGAACCAATCAACGAGACACGTGGCATATGCAGAGGTCCGCAGACGACAGCGTGCCCTCCAGGCAAGGGGCACTTTAAGCCAGCAGATTATTCCCAAAATCTAAAAATCACATAAGTATGTGATTTCACACTCAGTCTGTATAATATATCGTGTGTGTACAGTGTATGGTTATACATTTTAAGACTGTTTACTTTTTTAACAGGTGCTTTTAAATTCAAGTTTCAAGTTTCATTTACTAGGTATAGCCCTGTGAGCCATGCGGCTCTTAAGTCGGGTGCAACCGCAACAAACAAAATTTGAATACAGAACATCTTAAAGCGACGACGCGCAACAGAAACATCCTGGAATAAACCAGCAAATATTCCACACAAAAAAAACGTATTAAAACGCTGTGCAAAAATCACAATGTGGTGCAAGCCAACAACAACAACCATAAGGCAATTTAGATTAACCATATGTTTTCTAATTACCAAAATAAAGCTACAAAAACAATGTAACAACAGTAATCATAGGAACAAATGTGCAAGGACTTGCGTGGTTGTTGCCATAATTAGTTCATATACGGGCATCTACCACGTGGCATTTTTTTAAATAATTAGTATCCAAAGTACACAGACACACACGTTTTTATTTTTTTATATACTCTAGTAATTTCGAGAATTACTGTATGTATTCTACAATGTCATTTAAAAAAAATAAAGTACAACGATGAAGTAGGCGTGTCACGATTGTCTTGCCTTTTTTGTCCAGCATTAATTTGTAGCAATTATTTATCATCCTATTTATTACTACTATAACCCAATTTTATTTCTGGTCGAGTAATGGTTTTTAAAAAAGCTCGGCAAACTATTTATATCTTGAACAATTATTAAAATATGACCAGGATTACAACAATGCAATGAAGAGACAAGCCAGAGCAGGTTGAATCTTTTAGAAAATGTAATTAATAATCAAAATAAACTTACAAAACGTACCTATACAACAGCGTTTTCAATGAGTGCATATTGCCTGCTATGATCTAGGGATCAAAAATGTAGACACTGATGAAAAGTTTATGGGGAATTACACTTCGTGACAGTAAGAGGACCAACATGGATCAGAAAACAAATGCGAAATTAAAGACCTCTTATTAACTTTTAAGAAAAGTAAGTGAGCTTGTTCCAGACGCATTGCGAGAAGCAATGATGGCCAATGCATAATACAGATGATGGAAAGGCAGCCAAGAGGTGGAATATGCCCAAGAGTATGGAAAAGCTAGTGTTGAGATTATCCAATGTGCAATAACGAAATGGATCGTGGCATCACAAGATCTTGAGGGTCGACGTGAAGGTGGGAAAGCCTTAATCCAGCGATAAATTGATATTGGTCTGTTGACGAAAGTGATGATGATTGGATGTCTGCCAGACAGGTTGTATGGATAGATTTCTAGTTATTATTACGTTTGTTTATTTAGGAAAGACAGCATCTCATGACTTTTTAAAGGAGGGTCTTGTCAAGTTTTCGCAGTGGGGGGGGAGATGATTGCTCTGTACATTCCAATTGAGTATTTGTGGAAATATGTTTGCATTTAAACCATGACGCCGGCCCGCAATGGGCTACGGTGACAAATTACATCATGAGATCCTTAATCTCCACTCAGGGCACTGCTGGATTTTAACCGTGAACCTCTACAACAAGCGACGGACACTCTACCGCTGCCACGTCACCACCCATCTGCACCCATCAGGTGAAGATAATACGGATTAAACCACTGACCTCATATTCCAGGGGTGCCACAGTGTAAAGTGGCTAGCTACCCTGGCTGGCATGTCGGAGAGCGTGGGTTCGATCCCGATCCCGACCCTGACACCTGCATATTTTGACTTTGCATATTCTCACTGTGGTCACGGGGATTTTTCTTAAGTTTTTTCCCTCCGTATTGTAGTTGGCTGCTATAAAATTTCACATGATGAACCACTCCATTGAGTTATCATTTGTGGCCAGATCGCTTCTGAAAAAGATCTTCATAGCTCAGTGGGTCTTACCTGGTAAAATATTTAAAAAAAGTTTAGTTTAATATTCATTCATCCTCCCACCTGTGCGCATTCATACTGAAGAAACCCAAAGTAGATTTTGTTTTACTACTCCAGCTAGAGTCCCAAGGTCCTAATGATTGCCCTGGTTTCAAGTATTGATTATTTCTCACGCAGGGTGGCTAATTGCACTGTCAACAGTTCATGTTTGGCTTCTTGAGCTGACTGGCGGCTGGAGTCCACACCTCTTGGTGCCATTTGACTTCATTAATAACGAAGGCGGCACCGAACCCCTAACGGGGTTGGCAATTGCTGCTGCTGCAGCGAGCATGCACGCTCCCACACAGACACCGCATAGACATGTGTGCCCTTTGGGGGATTGGAGCTAATTATAGATCCTATGGTTTCAACCTGAAACGAGCTTGCTTTAATGTCACTCAACAGTACCAGTCTATGGGTGTAATGTTGTTGTCAATTATATGACACAAATGTAATTGTAAAAGTTACCAATATTATGTTCGCAGTTTGACAGATTGTATTAAGTGCAGGCTCTGGTGGATATTTTGTAAACCTCACCATGATTAACCTTAATGAATGACATTCAGTCCCGATGTACGCAAAGTGTTTGGTACTGTACCAGCTCAATCACTGTGTCCTGAGGGCATAACCGTGTCAAATAGCTTAACGTTAATTCGTATTCTAAATGGTGAAGAAAATTTATTATACAGCAGATGGCGTGTAATTTTTGCACTGCAGAATAGAATTGCAATGAACGTTTACATTTCTCTTATATAAAAAATAAGGTGTGGTTTTGAAACATTTATCTAGAGCCAAGAAAGGTAAAATGACATGGGAAATGCATGTGGGGAGAGGTGAGATCTGGCAGTCTGTGCATACCCACGAGATGTCATTTTTACAGCTGCTAATGTGACCCTTTCATATTGTAGGTGCAGCCTGCGTTTATAGTGTTACGGGAGCGAACACATCAATAAATAAAACATTCCCTCCCAAATCCATGTGGGTCATGGGGATTTTTAGACCATACTTCTCCATGATGATCATTGCAGGTTGGTGAATGGAGGTGAGGGCAGGATCAGTTTTGATTTCACTTCCCAGCTGTGGCCCGAAGTTTAATTCGGGACGTCGAGTCCATAGTGCGCATTAATACACGTTAACAATCTCATTGATACACTCTTGTACAAAATGTATTCAATTGCAAATAACATGACTATAAATACTATAATTGGAGGTGTGATTGTTAGTGCATTGGAAAGGCCAGTCGGGCAGCAACTCCATCGTGGAATAAAGCCAGGTCGAGAGGTTGTTGTGTGAACCCCGAAATGCCTACAGTACGGCAGCTCTGGCTTCTGCTATTACATAGAAACAATGCGTGCAAATTCAATCAAATCCCTCTGGCGTGTAAGGACTTGCCTTGGCGCTGTGCAACTTATTTGATAGCTTTAAAAATAAAAAAACCATTGCAATAACCCTGTTCAGCGCTGCCTTTCCTTCACCCTGTTGAGCACTCTATTCCACGAGTGGCTGATATAGCGTCAATACACAATGACATGCTAATCTCTCACAAGACAATGTCCACCTCCTCAGCACAAGCTCCAGCCCCCACCCTCTTGCCCGATGCGGAAACCCTCCCCACCCCCTCTCGGCTCTATATATAAGGACTTTGTTTCAGCAGCCTGTTTCTCACTCCCACGTGAAGACGGTTGCTTGTGTGGCGATCGAAACGTCGTGAGCTATTATTATTTTTCTTCTACGTACGTGACTTTACCGAAAGAACCAAAGAGTATGGATTCCTGCAGTCACGAAAGCTTCAAATCAAAATCTTTAAAAAGTGCAGACTTTCACCTCGTCAAAGCTGAAAAGAATGTGTAAATTGAAGTCAGCAAGGGCTATGTACTGTATTACACTTGCGTTAAATGTTCCATTATTCAGTGTTCCTACATGCAGGACATGAACAACTACAGCACGTGAATATTTTTACATGTTCGGTGTACAAATCCATCTTTGCCATCGATTATTTAGAATGCTCAGACTTTTCCGTATTTTTTTCCTGGAAAGAGATGACCACACGTTGGAAAGACTGCACAAGGTCAACACATTTTGGTTCTTGAAATAAAAGTTTGTTGCCTAAATCATTCACATTATCTAGGAGGCATTGTTCACTCACAACTGGATGAGATTGCAATTTCAATTCCTCGTCATGGCTCACCTCAGCCCCTCTTCTCTCCAAGGTTGATTAAATTAGTTCCACTTAATGGGAGCTTTGGAGTGGTTGTCCTATGGAGAGACTGACTCCTGCCACGAGAATGTAACATTGTCACCGCGAGCTCTGAGATAAGAGCCGTACGGGAATGTAGACAAACCCCTAGGCAGTGGGTGGGGGGGCGAGCAAGGTCTAAAGTTAACAAAGTTAACACATTTTAAATGCTCAAACGATATCGCCTGCTGTTGTATCATGTAATCTGCTCTGTTCTCAGCTCCTTTTGTATAGGATGAAAATCTGGGACAGCCATTACTTAATTGTACTAATGTTATATTGTATCAGCAATCTTTGACTTGACTATGGGGCTATGAACAGTGGCCTACTGCTCGTCTAAGACGGGGACAATTCTTGGCTTCACTTGCGTTAACTTGTCCGTGTTGTTGCAGAGTGTACAGACGATGTGTGCTCAAAGCCAGCTCATCGTGCCCATGTGCTCGCTCCCCGCAACTATGTGATCTTGGAGAGCGCAGAAGCCACCAGCCAGCTTTGTTGAGAAGGATACACCGATTAATTCGGGGCAGAATACATGTATATATGTATACAAACAACCACCACGATAATTTATCATTAGTACATTTTATTTCAATAATTGTCTTCATCTCAATGAAAAATACCTTATTTACTGTATCGCATATACAGTATGGATTAAACTACGTTACATTTAAAGTATATACATTGTATGTACACACGCACAATATTGTAATCCATACCGAGTGCAATATCATACACTGTGCATGTGCATGGTGGTGTTTCGCGTGTGTATTTAGCAGTAACCTAGCTGTAATAAAATAAACATGAAGATCAAAAATAAAGTGGCACAATTCAAAGATGTAGAAAACTCAACACATTCGTCAGTAGCAATGCCTTAAAATAAAAAAATATAAACGTATAACAGCACATATTGTGCTACAAAGAGCCATTTCACGCTGTTTAATCCTTTGAAGGCCATACGATGTTGTTGATGAATGTGTTAATTTTTTGTTGTT